TAGGAATGTGGTTGCATATTCTCTCATTAAGTTTTTATTTTTAACAGGCTATTATTTAGAACACTTTTAGGTTCAGTTGTTGTAGTCAGCTTACTTCTCATTTTGGTTCTCATTAGATGGAGAAAGTTCTGCTGTTTCCTCCATGGGCTCTATTAGCTCGGGTCTCCAACATTGTGACTTCATTTAACTTTAATCATATTAAAGGCCATACACAGTCACATTGGGGAGATTAGGACTTTGATATGTGAATTTTGGGGGATTCACATTGAGTCGAAAGTATAAAGTTCCCCTATACCCATCGCCTTCCCATTTTCAGCATTTCCCAACCAAGTGATTTGTTAAAAATGATGAACCTATATTGACATATTATTACCCAAAATCCATAGTTTACCTTAGGTTCACTCTTGCTGACTATTCTGTGGATATGGAAGGATTCATAATGACAGGTAGCCACCATTGTAGTATCATAAAGAAGAGTTTCACTTCCCCAAATGTCTTCTGTGCTCTGCCTATTCCTCCCTCCTCTCTAACCCTGTCAGTAGTTGATCTTTTTACTATCTTTATGTTTTACCTTTCTAGAAAGTCATAGGATTGTAGTGAAATGTAATATAGCTTTTGCAGATTGGCTTCTTTCACTTAGTAATAAAATTTTAAGATTCTTTCCTGTCTGTATGGCTACATTTGTGACTGGATATTCATTAGTATGTATGGAAGTGATATTTTTCAATCAGGAGGCACATGGTGTCCATCTGTTCTGGTAAAGCTAACTGATAATTTGGGTAAGGTATGCCTACCAGTTCTCCATTGTAAAGTTACTATTTTATCTCTGTACTTAGTGTTTTGTGAGAAGACTTACAAAATATGTAAAATAAGCTGTATCATACTTTTATGCACTAATTGTCAGCAACTTGCTTGAAATAGTTATTACTGTGGTTTTACCAAATGGTGATTTGTAACTTAAAATGTTTAATGTAGTTACGTTTTTGTCTTTTCCCTCATAGCTTCCTTTTGTGTTTTTCTTTTTCACTTTTCTCTAGGGCTTTCCTTGTGCAAAACATTAAAAATTCCCACATTTACCTCTCTTAAAAAAAAAAAAAAAGGACGACCATAGAATTTTCTAAGCATTTTCTAACTTCTCAATATTTTATGACTGCTGAAAGGAAAAGATCACTAAAGACCATGTATACAGGTTATCAAATAGCTTTAACTTGGAAACACAAATTAAGGAAATCAGTACATGTCCTATGTTTAAAACTCTGCCTTTTCTGTCCATTATCTCCAGTTACACTCCATTCTTGGTAGAAATAGATCTTCTAAGGTCTTAGTAGGTGGTGACATCAAGAGCTAAAAAATATTCTTTGATGAACTCATGTCACTTTAATGCTCAGCTTGAAGTAAGAATGGGCAGAGAGAGGCTCTAAAAAAACAAATGACTTGGAAATTGGAGATTAAAAAAACAGCAGAAAACTGGGTGATGTTATTTCAATCACTGCCAACATGGGGTGTAATTGAGTTAGTTTATTTATATACTCCTGTACTGAGCACTTATAACTGAACTCTGCAAATGGCTCTGACATGGTAATATGCTGCATATTTCATTACACTCTGAATATGTTTAAATTTATAAAAAAATATGAAATTTGATTCAGTTTTCAAACCACACTTAAAACATGCATTTGATTTGCGAGTTATCAATTTGCTGTGTAAATAAAATTGTGCATTATTAGAAAAGAATCTCCAGAATCAGTGCATGAAACCAAGTGTCTGCCTTTTGTTTTATGCAATTTATGACTGCTTCATATTTCAGCATGTGAAGAACTATGTCTCTGTGAAGAGAAATGTGTCAGGGTTGCTAGGAAACCAAAGAACTGTTTTGTAGGATCTTGAGATTTCAATTCATTTATAGTACAACACAATGAAGAGCAGTTGAATGTTTTAAACATTATTTTGAAAAAGTAATAACTGAATGTCATTTAAAAATCAGTTTAAAATTTCTCTGGGGTTTTGGTTCCAGGGCCCTCTTACAGATAATCAAATGCACAGATGCTTCAGTTCCTTATATAAAATGGTGTAGTAATTGCATATAATAAAATTCTAAAAGTATACTGAGATCACAAAGTTTTAGTAGTCATTTATAGTAATTTTTCGGGTATTTATAGTAAATACCTAAGTATTTTTCCTCTATCTCTCTGGGCTGTGTCTTGGTTCATTTTGAAATGGAATCTTCATTCTGCAGTGTACTTGGGTTATTCTTATCTTACTTGATACATAAAGTATTAATAACCAGATAAATTAAATGCAGGTAAAAAATTCTAGTGGATATAGAAAGGAATGAATGGGGGGAGGAGTAGTAGAGTGCTTCTCTAGCATGTGTGAGGCCCTGGATTCAGTCTCCTCACAGAAACAAAAGGAACAAGAAAAAAAAAAAAACACTTGAAATAGCTGAAATTTCATTTGGCAAGTTAATGCTTTTAGTTTTTTCCAACATTTCTAAAATTATAGTAAATAATATAAGTCATGCTCTTTTCTACTGTGTTTGAGGAGCTACATCAGGAGATAAAGTTAATCACAGTTCTTCCTCATGATAATGGCGCCAATGACTTAATGACAAATTAGGATGTGCACTTTGAAAGGCTTCAAAAAAAAAAAAAAAACCAGAGCAAAATGGACTGGATGTGTGGAAGTGTGGTAGAGTGCCTGCTTTGTAAATGTAAAGCCCTGAGTTCAGATTCCAGTCCCACCCAAAAACAGCAACAACAAAAACCCATGGAAAGAAAAGCTCATCAATATCAAATCAAGCTGTGACAAAATCCTGGATACTACCTAGATCAGCCTCACCAAAAAAAAAGAAGGAAGGAAAGAAAAAAGAAAGAAGGAGGAAGGGAGGGAGAAAGGGAAGGAAGGAGGTAGCATATGCTAATATCCAGAATTAGGGTACTGTGAGCATTCATGGAAGTAAGGACAGAAAAGTCATTGTGGATAGGTCTTTAGTGAACGAGGCAGGCATAGGACTGAGTTTAGTAGAAATGATAAAACTTATTTATCCAGGGGTTTAAATATTTATTCAGGAGAAACATTTGAGATAGTACACATCTCAAATCATGTAATTTTACATAGTTTTGTAGACATGAAATAGAGACTGCAGCAGTAGGGACTTTGGAAGATAAAATGTCGTGGATTTGACGTGATCAATGGGTTTGGATGATGCATCATCATTCTTGCTACATAAAAATCCAGCGCCAACTTGAGCAGCACAACATAAAAATCATGTATTTGGCTCGGCGGGAAGTTCTAGGATAGCTCACAGGGCTGCAAGGACCGGCGTTGTGTGTTCTAGGGTGGCTGTGTGTTGGGCAGCTACACCTGTTGATGAGACACATGAGTTCTTTGCCTTGCGGTTTGTTCACACAGTGACAGGGGTCCAAGGAAGAAAGAATGGGTGCAGTGCGGGTTTCTAATGTTTAGACATGGAATCACATGTCAGCACTCCACAAGGCCAGCCTCAAAGTCAAGGGATGAATTGTAGAGAATACATTTTAAATCTGTTTGCAGAAGGTCCTTAAATGCTATTAAATGCCTAGGATGGTGCCTGCATATAAATGGTCTTAAATGTACCCTGGTTTTTCTTTAGTTCCCAGTCTTTTGCTTCAACTTTACTAACATTTTATGTCTGATAATCTTTGTGTTAAGCTTATTTCATGATTAATAGAATGCATCGTGCCATGCCTAATGCCCTAACCCTTTATTTTGGTTTCTTCTATTGGAATTTTTTATTTGAAAAGCAGTACAAAATGGAGAGTGAGGACTTTGGATTCACTTACTGCTAATTTTGCTCAAACATACTTTCTTTTTTGAGACAGGGTCTCCCTCTGTAGCCCCTGCTGACTTCTAACTCATGATCCTCCTGCCTCAGCCCCTGTGTTAACAAAGCTATTTAAAAAAATTTATTTTTCAGTGCTGGAGATTGAACTCAGGCCTCACACATCCTAGGCAGTTGTTGTAGTTCTGACCTACATCTGCAGCCCAAATAATTGGGAGTTTGAGACCAACGCAACATAGTGAGACCTCATCTATAAATAAATAAATAAATAAATACTCTTTTTATGTAGAAACTGATATGAACCAAATTGCTTTCCTTTTAAACAACAAAATGTGAATTCATTATACTTTTTTCTCATATTAAAAATAGAATCATTTTGCTTATATCTTATTTCTACTTTTCTACATTAAGAGATGCTAGCATTATTATACCAATCCATTAGCAAGGAGACTTTTGAGCCCTTGCATGGTGACAGTTGGAGTAAACCATCTCTTAAATAAACTCAAGTGGAGGCCACCCTAACAGAATGGTGTTTGTGTATATAAACACACAAAAGGTACAGTAGAAACAGTGGACAACAGGGATTTTTCAGCCTTGTTGAGAGCAAGGTCATATGTAGTCTGTCACTGACTAAACTTCTAGACAGTGTACCCCTATATATAAATCAATAGTTTTCCTTTCTTTTTGCATTATCCTCATCAAAACGTATGGCTTAGAAATATTTCTGCATTCAACACAAGTTACAGAGTCAAGTTTAATAAAAGTTTGGAATTAAAGAATCCTTTAGAAAAATATTTCAAAATTTATCAGCATGAGCCCCACTGAAAATGAGTTTGGGATATGTGCGTGGCAATGTGGCAAGCATCATTAATGTAGCCTTGAATTTGTGTGACACAACTTTCAGAGATTGTAGCCAAATTCAGTTTTAAACATCTGCAGGGAGATTGAAATTGTAAACCAGTACCAACTTATTGTATGTACTGTTGGGAAGATCACAGTGTCAAAGAGAACTGTATGGAAGCACGTGGCATTAATACTGTTCCTTTTTTACAAAGCCACCACTGAATTTGAACTCCATCCCTGTGGATCCAAACCCCATCTTTTGTCTCCCCAAGTGGCTACAGGCCCTGTGCAGAGTAATTGCAAATGCTTAATCCCATGTACATGTTTCTTTCTCCAGATTTCACCAGAAGTTTGAGTATCACTACTCCTGAACAGAACATTGAAAAAGCCAAAGGGGAAACTGCCTATCTGCCATGCAAGTTTACCCTTAGTCAAGAAGACCAGGGACCTCTAGACATTGAATGGCTGCTGTCACCATCCGATAATCAGCAGGTGGATCAAGTGGTGAGTTTGATAAGCACTTGCTCACTCTGCAGGTGTCTGTACAGCTGTCTTTATGTGTCCATGGTCGTGCTCCTCACATAAAGTGGTGTGGGGAGCTAGGAAGAAATCTCCTGGTACTCAGGCTTGGTTTAGGTGAGGACGGCATCATGTTGATGGAAAGTGAGGTCATGTAATGAAGCCAAGATGTCAGAAGAGGAAAAGGTCACAATATCTCTTATAGACTGCTTTGGGGAAGAAGAGGAGGTAGTGAGAGTTCTGGAAATCTGCATTTGAAAGTTTGTGTGGTGAGGCAGGGAATCGTGGTGGATGTCTGGAGCAGGTGTGAAGTTGAGGCAGCAGTGAGCATGTATGTTGGGATGCCATGTAAGCCACACTGTGTCAAAGGTCAGACAGAACTGGATTTTTACACAAAGATTCTGTTACTGGTGAAGCATGATTACAAGATGTAACCTAATATAACATGGACATATATTGTTATTGCAGACCCCATTTTCTTTATTTGTTCAAGTAAAATATCCAGTACAGTGAATTTCTTAAGAAGCTAAATGACTTTAGGGCATATAAAAGTCTGTTGGATATGTAATCATAACTTTAAAAATATCAAAATAACTTTATAGTATCCTTCTAAACAAAGTAATAAGTGCCTAATGTGGAAAATTTGGAAAATCAAAAAAAAAAAACCCATACACACAAAAAAACCTTGCTCTAGTGATCTCACCTCAAAATACACCATGATTTGTCTTTTAAGTATTCATTTTTCACTGAATGTTTTGTATTACCTTCATCTGATATATTTAATTAAAAAAAATTTGGTAAGGGGGAGGAAAACAGTTTCAAGAACTTAAGGGCTGTTATGATGTTATTTAGAAAAGAAATTGTAGGGGGTGGGTGTGCTGGTTCATACCTGTAATCCTGCACTTGGGAGAGCCGAGGCAGGAGAGTCCTGAGTTTGAGGCCAGCCTGGGCTATATAAGTGAGACCCTGTCTCAAAAAAAAAAAGCAAAAGAACAAAAGAGAAATTATACTTTTACTTAAAGAAACAGGGTTATTTAAAAAATTGAAAATTAGATTCTTACACTTACTGGCTGATTTAGTCCAGTTTGGTATTTAATTTTTTTGGCAAATCCAGTCAGTTTGCCCATGATGTATTTGTGACAAAAATGATTAGGATGCTCTCCTAAATAGTCAATGACTAGGGCTACTCCCTCTGAGGACATACATCTGCCCTGATTCTGCTACCAGAACTTCCTTCTTTCTCCCTAAGCAAAATAAATTGATCCTGCCACATTCTGTTCCCTTAGACCAGATATTCTGTTGCCTGCCTCTCTCACTCTTACTTCCTTTTGCTCCTCTTTCTTTCTTGGTAGAAGTGCCAGCACCCTGAACACCAACCAGCTTCCAACTGAGGTCCTGCTTTTCCTGTGCCAGTGCAGTGCCCAAACACTGGAGGCCAGGACTCTGATCCTGTGGTTAAGAGAGGAGAGCTTGGCTCTTCAGTGCATCTGTCTGATTTAAACTAGTTGAGTTAAATATAATGAGGTGCAAATAGAGACCAAAAAGCTCAGAGTCCTGAGCCTGTGGTGTGTCTGTTCATGGAAGGATGATTCTGAGTTTTCCAGGCTGAGTGAGAGCCACAGCCTTGCTATCTACAAGAATTTTGAGATAAGTGGGAAAAACTGGCCACTTGCCCTTGAGTGTCCATTCTGGGTTAAAAACCTGGCCTCAAATCTAACTCAAAAGAAAGGTGGAAAAGTTAGGAAGAGATTGATGCAGAAGAAGATGCTTGCATAGAGTTTCAGCTGCATTATGTTAAAATATTTAACCTTGCAGATCATGGCTAAGGACTTAGACATGAAGGACTAGACTGGAGCAGCTTCTAGTCTTATGTCCTGTGTTCTTACTTTAGTCACCAGTTGCCGCATACTATGTCTTTGGGCAGTGTTTAATGTGGGTGAATTAGACGGCCATACACTGCTCGACATTGAGGATGCATTCTGAGAAATGCATTGTTAGGTGAATTTTGCCATCGTATAACACCATAGAATGTGTTCACACAAATATAAAACGGCTATGAAATAATCTAATGTGCCATCTGTATGTATATACTGCCTGGTTGACAGACATATCTCTATATAATGCAGTGTGACTGTATTTACTTATTTAAGCTTTAAAATAACACTCTAAGGTGAGCATATAAAAAGGAGGAAACAGGTCAAGAGATTGGTAGGCACAAACCCAAGTCACACAGCTGGCAGTTGAGATTTGAATCCAGTTCTCTGTAACTGTCACACCTATACTTTGATTATCCTTTGTACTGTCCTTGACTGCCTCCCATGGTCCATCAACCTCTGTTTCTTTATGAGTAAACTACCTCAGGGTTGTTGTAAGAATTCAAGAAACACTGTATGCATAAGTGTGTTGTCAGCTTATGAATGATAAGAGGAATGCTGTCCATGTACTGTGCCAAATCAAGAAGATCTAGCTTGCAATTTAGTGTGCAACTGCAAAGGCTGGTGTGTGAGAACCACTGCTCTCCTTAGGCTAGACGTTTTGGTCATATGGTGGGCAATGCCGTAATGCTTTCTAGGGTGTGAAGGTGAATCAATGAAGACATGTAAAAATCGCCTGGTAAATGTTAGTTCCCCATTTCATAGCTACTGTTTATAAAGTTTTCATAGGAAAATATTAAGGTAGTTTACAAAATAACTCACAATGGGGATGTATCTTATTTGCCAGGCCTTTCTTAGAAGATTTATAAACTGTGTGTAGTGGCAAAATGAGCTCTTGAAAGTAGAATAGATTGGACTTACACAATAAATAAGTCAACAGTTTAATACAGAGGAAGCTAATGATCCTCATTGTGGATTCTCAGTGTTGAGGTTGCTAAGTGGGTATGGCAAGAAGATGGATAATGGCTCGTGTTTACAAACTAAGTCAGCTGTGGATCCTTCAATTTGCTTTTTATATATTTGTAGCAAACTGCTGTTTAGTGCATCCTTGTTTCAGGCACGTAATGCATACACACACATACACAGACACACAAACACACATGAGATCTTTAGTCAATTAGGTGTGGAGTAAATGTTGTAGGGGAGTTGGAAATATAGAAAAATCCTAAGTCCTTCCATTCAAGAAGTTCCTACAGAATAAATGTGGAGAAGTGTATTCTTGGATGACATTTTCCCCCAATTATACTGCTCATAATTAGCTTCTCAGATAAGAGAATTATTTGCAGAGTATAGACATGTTCTTGATTATTATTTAAGTTTGCCACTACTTGTGGCCTTGAGTCTCATATGACCAGAACAGGATTTATTTTCTTTCTAAATCTAGCCTTTCATGATTGCTGTCAAAGCCTGTAATAGTGGCTCAGAAAATTCACTGAAATAGGAAGTGGTCTTTGCTTAGTCACAGAAGATTCATTGAAACGTTTTGCTAACCTAAGGACATATAATCTTAAGAAGCTTATTTTACGTATTAGAATTTAGGACCCCCGGTGTCTCAATGGTATTTTAGTATTAAAAAAATAAATATCTTTTTTGTTAGGTTATTTGGTAAGTTTGTTAATTTTCTTGTTAGATGATTTGGTAAATTATTCACTTTTTTGAGGGAGAAGGAACAGTAAGTACTTGATGTTATATACTTGATATGTACCTTCGGCAGTTGGAAAATATAGTGCACGGGAATGGACAACTCTGCGTGCTTGTCCAGTGTCACCAAGTGTCTTCTAGTGCGGGGCTGTGTCACACAGTTGTGTTGGGTCTTGATTTCTCCGTGAGAGAGTGGAATCATACCCACATGTTCCATTTTCCCCTTTCTGTTTTCTCATTTATGTGATTTGGATAGCCATAGATTTCTTCATAATACAGTGTTCTTTTACTATTTTTACTATTCTATAGAATTGTGGTATATCCAGAGTTCCTTTAATGAGACAAGTTTTTTGTTTGTCCCTCTGTCTTATTTTGCTTTTCTTTTAGATTATTTTATATTCTGGAGACAAAATTTATGATGACTACTATGAAGGCCTGAAGGGGCGATTACATTTTACAAGTGATGATCTCAAATCTGGTGATGCATCAATAAATATAACAAATTTGCAGTTATCAGATATTGGCACATATCAGTGCAAAGTGAAAAAAGCTCCTGGTGTTGCAAATAAGAAAGTTCTGCTAACAGTTCTTGGTAAGTTATTTTTATTTGTATTAATGGGGTTCTTAGTAACAGGGTGTCTTACATTTTATGTACGACAAAGCTTAGTTTCTTAGAGTAATAATTTTAAACATTTGAAGTACTGCTAATGTCCTCAAGTAGCATAAAACACAAGGGTTTTTTTTTGTTTTGTTTTGTTTTTGGTGGTACTGGGTTTTGAACTTAGAGCCTCCTGATTTTTGCCTCTCCAGTAGCTAGGATTATAGGTGTGAGCCACTGGTGCCCTGCCTAAACTATATATATTTTTTTTGGATAGGGAAAATAAGAACTGACCTACTTATTTGTGAAATTCCTACGAGTTTAAAAAGAAGTAAAGGAGTCTTATGGTATGAAGGTAGAAACTTGCTATGATTTGGATATGATTTGTCCCCACCAAATCTTATATTGAGGTTTAATTCCTCAACGTAAAGGTGTTTGAAAGTTGGGCACATGTTTAATAGGTAGTTAATTAGTTCACGGAGGTTCTGTCCTTGTGAAAGGATCAGTGTTGTTCCCATGACAGTTGAGTGGGTTGTTTCTCGTGAGAGCAGTTTTTACAAAGCTGGCTAACTCCTTTACCCCTTCCCGCTCTTCATGGGATATCCATTTGCTTTTTGCATGATGTCCTCATTAGAAACCAAGCAGGCGGGTCCCATGCTCTTGGACCTCCCAAAATGTTAATTAGGTAAATTTTTTAAAATACACTACCCAGCATTGGGTATTTTGTTATAGCAACAGAAGACAGGCTAAGCCAGGAGTTAAGTGGTGTTAGTTTTTTATTTTGTCCTTAAAATATTCTCTGAGAATTAAATAGAACCTGTCTATTTCCTTGGACCTCAGCCTACCACTTTGAAACATAAAAATACGTAATTACTATTAAGTCTACCAGCTCTCATTCAGTTCAAAATTGTTTACGGATGCTTTATGGGAAGGACAAATGCTTTATGGGAGGCTGGGAGGACAAAGAATGAAGCCAGGTACAGAATTTATAGGAAATAAGATTTATAGTAAAATGTTAACTATTATTGTTTTTCTAATGTTTCCCCTAGACCCAGTTTAACACTATTCATCCTTCACTAGGGGTCCTACCTCCTGAGCACACATTCCACATTTAATCCCCATATCTCCTAATCTCGACTCAGAAATACCTGATTGAGAACTGATTTCTACTTTCCTGAGAGTTCCTTAAAGTCCTTCAGAGTGCTCCTTCTTGTCCAGTGGCATTCCCACAGTTCTTCATGGTGCCTTCCTTACTGGTCAACCTGATTTTATAAACTACACACTTGCTCTGGTCACATTGACTTACTAGGCTTTAACACTAGCCTCCAAACTGCAAACAGTGCTCAGTAGGTAAATTGAAAAGCACACTTATATTATGGTCATTCAGTGGAATACTAATCAGTAACAAAGAATGACTTTTGATATATACGACAACATGGATCAGTCTTAAAAACATGTTGAGTAAAAGAAGTGAGACTGGAAACGTACATACTGTTCTGTATTTACCATTCATATGATTCTAGAAGCAGCAGAACTAACTTAGAAATGAGTTTTGAAGTGAGATTGACAGCAGCCAGTTTGAGTTAGCTTTCTTGGGAAATTCAGCAGAAAGGTTTGCAGTGCAAAGGTGTTAATCCAGGGTTGAGGCGAATTGGAGGTAATAGAATTTGGTGGCTACTCTAAAGAGTTATCAAGGGAGACAGAGAAGATAACTTTAGATTTACCTGGATGGATTTGAAATAATTTAAATTGAATATTAAATGGCTCTTTACTGCACTAAGGCAGTTGTCCTGTTATCAGCATTATTGATTATAGCAGCACCTAGACAGAAGTGATGACACATACTCTCAGAGGACTGTATTTCAAACACAAAGACCAGATGATGAATGGAAGGAGGAGCTCTATTGAGTGTCAAGTTGTCCAGCCCTCATCATCCTTGCTTTTTTTCTCTCACGTGTCCCTGGCAGGGAGGAGCACTGAGCTGCTGTACTTGAGTCTGTCTTTGCTAAACCTCCTCACACAATGGCTGCTACCTTGCCTGAGGCAAAGTAGGAATGATCTTACCTGTTTGGTGTTTGGTAAAGCTGATGTTGTTAACTTATTGTGATCTTTCATTCTTCTGTCCATCCTGAGCCCAGAACCAAATGATAAGGAATTGGTGATTGTATACCATGCTGTGCATTTAGTAATCCCTCTAAAAACAAAAAGTTCATTCTGTTGTATAAAGCTATAATTTACTTATTTTATTTTTTTCAGTTAAACCTTCAGGTACAAGATGTTTTGTTGATGGATCAGAAGAAATCGGAAATGACTTTAAACTAAAATGTGAACCAAAAGAAGGTTCACTTCCATTACGATATGAATGGCAAAAGCTATCTGACTCCCAGAAAATGCCCAGCCCCTGGTTAGCAGGTACTGCTGATGATACAACTTGTACCATGTGCCACTGATTTGGACTTAAATCTAGTAGGGTTTTAATTCTGAAATGCCTTCCCTTTTCTATACAGAGTAATCAAAAGTACTGTGGGAATTATTCAGTACTTTATATGACAGCTAAGTGTCATATAAATGAAGAATTATTTCTATAATGATTTCACATTTTAGAATATTATAATTAACTAATTTGATGGATTTTCTTTAAGTGGTGGGAAATGTTCGTGATCAAAAGTTAGATAGTGGCCAAAGTATAAAAAGAGTTGGATCTTGGATATTTTGTTTATATTCGTGTTGTATCTGTAAATTTAAAGACACAGACCTGTTTGACACTAGCTAGAAAGTTACAAATTGGCTAAATCTAATCATTTACTTGTTTATTATAATTGACTTCTTAGTTCTGATTACCGTACTCTACCTACCTTCCTCTCATTCGTCCTTCCTCATCCTAGTCCTCAGTAGGTTTTCTCTCTGTCTCTTTTTTTCCAACTAGATATACCAAACTGGATCATCATTTCTGACTTTCTTTTGTATGTTTCTGCCATCTGGGAGGGGGGATAAAATTGGCCTTGCAAATTTTCCTGCTGCATGAAAGAGGCTTTGTGAAATGAGACATTTTATATAATTATATGTGGCGCAAAATGCTAAGCAGTGTAGAACACCCTTGCTTTAGCTGAGGTTCTGTGGCTGAGGGATCATGGCTACTTTTGCCTTAATACATCAGTCTTACTGAATTTGAGAGATGTGCATATGGCTCCATGGCAATTGGTTTGCACACAGCATTGTCTCTTTTAATTGGGTAGTCAAACTTGTGGGGTTTAACTTTACTAAAAACTTAGAGCAATACATACTGTAAAAATGAGTTTGTGTTTTTACCCTCTCCCATAGAAATGACATCACCTGTTATATCTGTAAAAAATGCCACTTCTGAATACTCTGGGACATACAGCTGTACAGTCCAAAACAGAGTGGGCTCTGATCAGTGCCTGCTTCGCCTAGATGTTGTTCCTCGTAAGTATCTTCTGTTTTGTTTTTATTGTCTGTATACAGCTTCATTTAGTTTAATCAGCAAGGGTATTGAAGGCAAGAAGATACTTTGATGAGAATACTCTGCAGCTTTCTTACTAGCGTTTCTTGTTCATGGAGAAGAAAAATTACTATATTGTATTAATAAAATCTTCATCACTGTAATGATATTAAGAAGTCAAGAGTTGTCAAATTAGCTTTCATGTAATATTTAGCATTAAAAGTATAAGCAGCTTAGAATGGTCTTGTATGCTAACCAAGACAGTTTGAATACAAAATTATTTTAGTACGGTTTCATTTTTGTGCTGGAAATACACAATTAAGAAGATTCTCTTTATATATTTTCTCTGTGGAATCACAAAAGGCTAGATGTTTTGTCTCTTAAAGTTAATATATCCAATGAAATCAATCTATCAATATTAACCCTACTTTAATGTCATAGATGTAGTGCACTGTGTGTGTGTGTGTGTGTGTGTGTGTGAGATTTCTTAACTATTCTTATTAACATCTTATTCTAGCTTCGAATAGAGCTGGAACAATTGCAGGAGCCATTATAGGAACTTTACTTGCTCTTGTGCTCATTGGTCTTATCATCTTTTGCTGTCATAAAAAGCGCAGAGAAGAAAAATACGAAAAGGAGGTTCACCATGACATCAGGTAATTAAGTAAAACACTTGATAGGTATATACAAAAATACTGTTTCTAAAGCATTAGTTCTCTTAAATATTTGAAATCTATTCTGTGAGAATTAGGTAAAAGCTTTGGCTTTTCCTCTCAATGCATTTCATAGTATTTACTTTCAACTTCAGTGTACATGTCCATCCACCTTTCATTGTGCAACCCTTAAATTTTCTTGTACCCTATTTTGAGAACTGTTGCAAAGTGGCTAAGACTGCCTGCTTTTTTTACAATAAAATGATAGACATGAAGTTTTCACAAAAAATGGGGCAAATGCCAAGGTTTAAAGAAAAAAAGAAGACCTGATGGTTTCAAGGGTCATGGATAGTTTGTAGAACTATACATCATGTGATTTTCTTTACTTTTTGATTTTTGAGACTGGGTCTCATTATGTAGTATATATAGGCTGGCCTCGAACTCATAGTATTCCTGCCTCAGCTTCCTGTACACCACAACACTTGGCTTATTTTTGTAAATATTCTAAACAAATAGATTTTTAGCTTGGATTACAGGAGTTTAAAAAATAACACATGACTCAAAGTTTAGCACCCTGGAAATTGGCAGACATCTGGTAAGTCTGGGGTGAAGTCTGAGCACTAATATTTTAAAAATGCAATGAAAATTACTGAGGTTTATATTCCTTATCAGTGCTTGATGTGAAAAATTCTTATGCCTAAATTCCCTCTTTTTTATAACTGAATTCTCCAAAGTTTTCAGCTTAAGTCTTAGATAGCAAAAAAGGATTATTCTTCTGTCCTTTTTTGGGATAGAAATATGTCTGTAAGTATTAGTGCTTTATCAGCTAGAGAGTGTGTAACTGTAACTAGATGATCTTCATGATAATAGCATGTTAAAATATTTGATATTTGTTCCTCATGACAACATTGTAAAACTATACATTTGTATAAAAGCCATATCTTATTTTGTGTGAATTACACACTCTTTAATCAAAATAGCAAATGGGAGCAGGTGCACAGCTCTTGACATTATGCTTTATGATACTCATTTTTACATATGTAAATAGAGGCCCTTGCTCATTATTCATAGCTTATATAATTGTAGGTTTATAGAAATATATTCTTTTAACTTGTATTGGGTATTTCACTTTCCAGGGAAGATGTGCCTCCTCCAAAAAGCCGGACATCCACTGCCAGAAGCTATATCGGCAGTAACCATTCCTCCTTGGGATCCATGTCTCCTTCCAACATGGAAAGTTATGCCAAGACTCAGTATAACCAAGTACCAAGTGAAGAATCTGAACATGCTCCTCAGAGTCCAACTCTTGCACCTGCTAAGGTAGCTGCCCCTAATCTAAGTCGAATGGGAGCGGTTCCTGTGATGATTCCTGCACAGAGCAAGGACGGGTCTATAGTATAGAGCCTCTGAACCTCTCTTCTTTGCTCTGTTTCTTTTCTTCTCTTGATGTATAAGAACCTATTGTGGCATGAATTTTGTTAACAGCCTCAAAAATTATATATATATACATACCAAGAAACTGTGAGAAATATTCTTCACACAATTTTGTTTGGTTTGAATGAAATAAAGGCATTATAGTTAGTAAAGACATTCACCATCTGTAAAAGGTGAATTTTCTCTAAAAGGATGATTTTAAAGGTATCTGAATATTAATACCCAAGTAAGATGTAGCACTTTGAATATGAGCTCATAGGTGAAGAAATTTACATGCATACCAAGGTGATACTTGAACCTTCTGAAAGTGGTACTTTACAATTTTTTACCATTCTTAGGATGTCTGTCTCATTTATTTATGACCAAACAATGTCCCCCAAGTTGGTAAATATTTGTGGCAAAAATGCTTAGGTATATTTGTTCTTGTTTCTACAGTCTCTTTAAAAACTCTAAATGTGTTTTGGAATATCTCTAATAGAAGACACTACAACATTTTAGAAATAACTAGTTTTACTTCAAGTTCTTATGAAATTGCCTTCCTTCCTTCCTTCCTTCTTCCCTCTCTCCCTCCCTCCCTCCCTTCCTACCTTCTCTCTCTCTCTCTCTTTCTCTCTTCTTTACATTTTTTTAAGACAGGGTTTTGCTATGTAGCCCAGGCTGGCTTCAAACTCTTGATCCTCCTGCCTCAGCCTCCCAAGTACTGAGATTATAGTCATGCAATACCATATTTGGCTTTGAAATGATTTCTTAATTATTTGATAGATAACAAAGGTAACAGGGACATAGCAACCTTTTGTATATGCTAAAGTAAAGGAACAACTATCAGATTCAGTTAGATCATCTGCTTCAGCTGCATGTAGAGTGGAGGAGTGCAATAGTGGTGATGAATCTGCTTGATGAGTCATCTGGTGCCTTGAGGCCTATGGTTGTCTTCAGAATATTGTCCAGCTACATTCAGGATACAGCATTTCCCAGCCCCCAAATAATAAGTCTCTCTTCTTTTGTTGGTATTTTTCTAATAAGAAAATATTATAACTCCTTTATTATCTGACAAGTATGGATTAAAATTCCCTAACTATGGATTCTAAATTTTAAGGATATTTTGTATTCAAGAAACATGTAATCCTAAACTTACCCTCTTAAGTACAGCTCCTGGAAGATGTTTTTGCTTGTTTGTTTTTTTTTATCATAGACTCAGTGATCAAATATATTTTAGGCAAGTAAGTATCTTCCATCAATTCCTATTCCACTTGCTACTGTGTGGCCAAACCTGTCTTTGTGTAGTTCCAACAAATCAAGTTGAACTTTGCAAAAGTTTGAATCTTAGTTTTGTGAAAGTGATTCATGCTTAAAGAAAAATAAAAAGGAGTAAAGGGAATACTCCTACCTGCCAAATGTGTTAAAATATTGTATTAGTGAGAGAAAGTGGATTTATTGAATTTCCCTTAAGATTGAGAGGGATTGTAGATATAGTATGAGCCAACAGTTTCTTTATGGTAAATAAGGTTTGTAATAAATTATTTCATTAGCTCTAAAACCTTTTCCCTAGATTTTAGTAGGGAGTTGGTTTCTATTAATCTCTTTGGGTGCTGTGGTGGTAAATGCTACATTATAAAGTAATTTTGGCATGTATTTACGATTAGGCAGAGTATCGTGCACACTTTTTAATGGTAAACTAAAGCTGAATGTCTACATAATGGATTAGTGTAGTTTTACATACTTGGAAGTGTTTTTAAAGTAGGTTTTTAATGTTACATAAAATTACTTTTTATACTTGTGTTAACATTTTCATCTGTGCCTTTTTGGGTGACTTAATTTCTATTACAACTTTCTGGTGCCTATGAGCTAGCTATCACCTACCTGAAAGGTGCTTAGAGGTGAAGGTACTGTTTCTAAAATACATCACTGTGACATCTTTCTATCCGTATACTCTCAGTCTTGCCTCTTTCTCTCTGTTCTTTTTTATGTAACCTAAATGACTATGTTATTCATAAACATTTAAAATTTTTAACATCCCCACACTTTTTTGACTATGTTTCTGATTTTATAAATAGTAGCTATTTTTGAATGCTAGATGTTTGGCCTGTTTTGTAAGATATTATAAGAATAGAACAGAACACACTTTAATAATGAAAAAGTTTAGATCTATCCTACTTCTGATTTTCATATAATGAAGATTATACTATCAATCTAAGTAGCAATTACTATGGGAAATGGACATGTAAGATATTCCATCCCTTAGACTTCACATTTATCTAAGATTTGACTGGGAGTAAATCAGTCTTTCCCTGAAATTGCCTCAGTTCAGTCAACTGTAATCAAAAAACAAGCTTGGATATTCTTGCTTGTGTAACCCAAACCAAACTGTTGGGTGACCAAGTTTAGAAGGCCTGTTTTAGTTTTAGGCTTATGTCTCCAGTTATTCTGCCTGTAAATATCAGTCAAGGACAATGCTGTAACCTCAGGACAAACTGTTTTGTTCCACTTCATTACCTGAAACAGTATCCTATTTTAAATTTACATAGGATAATTTAAAGAGAAATGATACTGTCTATTACATAGTTCTGTGCTTTGAATTTGGAATAGTTTACAGGTATTCTTTTTATTGGCAATCTTATTATTTCCCTGTTCAGAAGCCTCCCACTCCCCAAATAAGTCTCTTATTGATTGTGCTGAATAGTTATTCTAGACAAATTATTTCCTTTAAATTTGAGTTATCTGCCAAGGATTTGTTACAGTGGAAACATAAACATAGCCTGAGTGTGTCTTGGGGGAAATTAATTGGGAAAAAACCCCCATGATCATTATCTATGCAAATTTTTAGGTATAAAGAAATAATTGGTTTCTGCTGGGTGTGGTGGCACACACCTGTAATCCTTGCACCCAGGAGGCAAAGGCAGAAGTTTGAGGCTATAGAGAGTTTCAGGTAAGACCATGTCTCAAAAAACCAAGGCCTAGGGATATAGCTCAGTGATAGAAAGAGTGCTTGCCTAGCATGCACAAGGCCCCAAGTTTGATCTCCATCACCACCACAAAAGAGAAATACCTGATTTTCCTTAAAAAGATAATTTAAGAAACTTAAGATTGAGTCCTAGAAAATAAGAGCAAGTAAAGGGACAAATAAACATTTTGATGAAGTATAAGAACTCATTGCATGAAGTTGGCTGTCAAGTTCTGTAACATGTGGCTTATTAAAATAACTGCTTTCAGTCTCCCTGTGTGTATGTAGCATGTAAATTTGAAGTTGTGTGAATGTTTATATATATTTTTTCCCTGCTAATTTTCGTTTGAACAGTGTTTAGGGCTTTCAGATGCCTTATTTCAGTGTGAACAGAAAGGTCCATATTTTATGTGGTTAATGCTTTGATATGTCATGTATGGAGCAGTTTGTAGAAAATGTTGGCACAATTTTACTTTTCAGTGGCTTGTGACATATTTTATATATATTATATATATGTACATATATCTTTACAACCTTCCTGTGTTTAGTAGTTTAAATGTTCTGGGCAAGTTTTAATATTTCAAATGCCTTTGGATATTCCAGCAATAAAGGCAACATGTTCTGCAATAGAATTTCTTACTTGTTTGCCTACATTGACACTAAAATAGTCCGTAAGGGAGCACAAACTCTTTTTATAAATGTTATAGAAGCAGGGAGCAATAATAAATAAATTGGTGAGTTGTGGTTCAGCTATTGCTCTTTAGAGAAGGCTTGTCATTTATCCTATGGAAGATAACACTGGCCTCTTAGAAAATACATCATATCCTCTTTTCTAATTTAAAAATATAGTGACTCTCAATTGGGTTTGGTTTTGGTAACCTGAACTGAAGTTTCCATCAAAGAGCTTTGTGTTTTCAGCTAAAAACTATTTAATGACACAAGGATTAAAAGAACCACAATTCACAAATTCACTTATTTTTGTCCCTAACTGTGAATTTTAGTGATAAATACACTTGTATTACTGAGAAAAAATATTTTGACACTTCACATTTGCAAGATGGAGTGTTGATAGTGTCAGTTTCAGATTTTTATATTTAAAATTTCTGGCTTACATATCCAATGGTGCAGATTTTAAAGTTTGTAAGAACAAATTTTGTTTAAAAAAAAAAAAACCCAAAAACTTGCTCTTAGTTTTGTGACCTTGTGTACTTTTGAAATAAAATCAAGAAAGCAGTTCTGTGTTGTGGCTTTATTGTGCCTTTTAAAAAATGTCTCCAAAAGCTTCAATAAGTTACTCCTTCCTGCTCCTTTCCTGTTTCAAGGTTTCCCTGTTCTCTCTATATATCCTTTTAAACAGGAAGAATAAGGATTGTAATAATCATAAATCGTAATCACAAATCAGTGAAAGCATCTCAAACATACATATATATTTCCTCCCTCCCATTTATTTATATGGCAGTAGGAATATCTGAGGTTGAAGCCTCCAAAATTCTGTCATTTTAGAATTTACAGTATTAATTCAGTTTTTCTGAAAGTAAAAATGAGTGTGCATATCTCATTCCATTCCTGCTGCTGTAAAATACTACCTCAGACTGGGTGATGTATAAACAATAGAATTGTATTGCTCGCAGCTCTGCAGGCTGGAAAGTCTAACATCAAGGCACTAGAAGATTCGTGTCTGGTGTCTGTTTCAAAAATGGCACTTTTCTGTGTCCACAAGCAGAGAACTTGCTCTACGGATGCCATTTCCATTCAAGTGGGTGGAGCACTCAGGATTTGGTCATTTCCCAAAGATGCCACCTCTTAATACTGTCACACTGTTAAGATAACATCTCAATATGGCTTAAGATATTGTCATTGACTTTAAATGTTGATTTCAGAAAAAAAAAAACAGGATGAGTTATTAAAGCTTCTGTAAGTTTGAGGGATATTTTATTCCTATTAAAAATGGTTTCTCAACCTCAGCACTATTAATGTTTTGGGCTAGATAATTTACTATGATTGAGGACTACTATCCTGTGCATTCTAGGGTGATAAGCGTCACTTCTGCCTTCTTCTCAATAGATGTCAGGAGTCTCCAAACACTGCCAAATGTATCTCCCATGACAGGAGGCCAATCCCTTCATTTGAAAACCAATAGTTTATACTAATGTGGAACTTTCCATCCTGGGATTAAGAAATGAAGAGCAGATATTTAGAAGCGATTGTCTTTGGTTACGAGTAGTT